ATATATAATAATCAATTTAAGATTCTTTCAATCACATTATATTATTTTTCTTTATTTTTTTATTAATATATTATATTATTAAATATTGGTTTTTATTATATTATAAAATATTGTAAAGACTAATTTTTCAAGATGCCTCATTTAGTTATTTTACATGGTTATCAACTAGTTTTTGTCAAAAATGATTTGTTCATTATCTAATTTATCAGCTACCAGTTAGTTTATCAATCATAAACTAGTTTATAAGTTAGTTTGTCAAACATACCCTCATATTCAAAAGAAAAAGATTATTATTAAGGGAATACATATAAGAATTGGATTCTAGTGAGAATGAAAGTGATAGTGAGAAGAGTACAAATATCTCCACCATTAAATCAATCCTAATTGAAAATCAACACTAATACAACACACCAAGATGTACTAAATCAATTCACATGATAAACACAATTCATAGGATGAGGATAAGATTAAAAGTGATCAAAGGTCTAGATCCTTTTTTATACTTTTCACTTTAACTCGTATTGTCACAAAGCATTGTTTGTTGCCAACATTTTTAGTACATAAGAACTTAATAATCTATGGCTTTATGGTCACACCGAATACTTAAATCTTAAGTAAATACATTTAAAATCTTGGATGCTATAGACCGAGACTGACTGACCCAGTTACATTCTAACCAACTTGGGATCAGGCCGATTTTTGACCACCTCTACCCTAGGTTTCATGTGGTACATACACGATTAACCCCCTCTAATTTGTAGTTACATTTATACCCTTCTTTTGTCCTCGGAATATTCTTCAAAATTTTGCATTAACTAATTATTTTCTATTTCCAATTATGATAAACTCTAAAAAAATTAAAGTTTTTGAACTTCGTTGTCACATACCATGATTTTGATGTAAAGAACGATGTGATGTCACCTCAATGACAATTTGGGGTTCTTATCAAAGTCGTTAAGAGATCAATTCACCAACAAATTAATTACAAGGGTCTTGTCATCACTCGTACGTTCTATTTAAATTATTGGAGTTTTATGAAATCAAATCAACACATCGTTTTCTTTTGATCTTAGAAAGAAGCATGGATACGTAAATATTGTATACACGAAACATGGTGCACAACAATAACATACCCTTGTATACAGTTCAGTTTGGAGTGGATTTTACATTAGAAACAACCATCGACCAAGATAGCATTGTAAAGCCTCACAAACCTTAGTGTCTGTAACTAGAGTTTTGATTGTTGTATCTAATAATAGGATGTTGAAATCATTTGTTTTGATATGTTTTAGTACATTAACAAAAGCTTATAATGAAACTACGAATATAGTGGTTAAATATCATATTCAGTCTGTTTTCGTAATCTATCTGTATTACGATCAAACTTAAACCTATTTGGTTTTGTAACTAAAATTCATAGACCATAAACCTTGGTAGAGATAATGAGAAACAGATACAGGACAATAGGAGTAGAAAACCTCTTTTTTTGTTTCTTTTTTTAATATATGACACAATATATTTGTTGGATTACAAACTCGTTTAAACACCAAAAAATTCTATTGTAACATAGTTGTAGTGCTGATAACGGGTAAGGGTAAATCCGTTATCTGTCATGTTTCGACCTGTTGGATAAGTGTATAGATAAAGAAAATTTTATCCATTACCCAATACCCGTAACGAAATTATAAACACACACACACAGATATATATATATATATATATATATATAAAGCGAAAGGTTATTTTGAAAAGTGATAAATGTTTGAGAAGTAAAAAAATGATCCTAGCTTTTTATACGGTCACGATTGGATTTGATTGGTCAATAATTGTAGCTTTAACTAGTCATAATTACGACTTTAACTGATTAAAATTGCGACTAATAGTTCCAGTAGTTTCGTAACTTTTACAAATAGACGGCAAATGAGTTCATATATGAACCTATGTGATTCACATATGAACTATATATTCATATGTGAACTCGTATAATTCACATATGAACTATATATTCACATGTTAACTCGTATAATTCACATAAGAACTATTTTAAGTGATTCACAAAAGAACTAATTAACCGATTCACATATAAACTGATGTGATTTACATATGAACTAATTAACAAGTTCACATATGCACATATGGTTCATATGTGTATCACATAGATTGCTTACTTACCGGACAAGATTTTATTCACTAAAACGCATCGCATGCAACAATTTATTTCGGTAAACACTAACCATTGTAAAAGTCCTCGTCTTTACTTACTGAGTAAGACACGAAATTCTTGCTTTCACTCTTATCAGATAAGATTTTTAATCCTTACTATATTAATCTGATACAATAAAATAACTGAAATCACTTGGTTTTAAGAGGGGGCCTTGCCTCATGATTTTATTAGCTCCTTAAAATAAGAAAAATGTAATGTAAAAAGTAGTGAAAGAAAGGAATGTTCGAAAATCATAAAAAGTAAAAACAGTGATGAATTTGTCAGGTTGTCGTCAGACACTTGTTATAAAATCAGTCTCGATTTTTACGAACTCTGGAGTGGGGTCCGCAATACTTGTTTTGTTTTCGAATAACGACAAAAGTAAATTTAAGTGTTTAAGGTTTTAAACTAATTTTTTATTAGTAATTTTTTAAACGATGCAAAATTAAACAAAGAAACTTTTGAACATTTTAAATTGAAAAAACTCAATGTAATTTTATATACTAGAAGGAGGGTAGTCGTGCAATGTAATAAGATATATCTTGATTTTAATATTTTATTTTATTTTTTTATCTCAGTCGATTTTATAATATGGTCTTATGTGATTTTGAAAATATGACAATGTTTTTATTCTTGAATAAAATATAAATTTGAAGATATCATAAAAATTTGACAAAAATATATTGGTATTATTATCTAATTAACTATTTAAAATTTCTATTTTTTGTGTAAAATATTTAATTTAATTTTTTTATTATAATTTAATTTAGGTTCAATAACGAAGTAATTTATATTTGGTTTGATAATATTTTTTTATAAAGATAATAATTAATTATTTTGTTAGAATTCGATAATTATCGTAATTATATTTTAGATTTTTTATATTTTAAAATGAGATGTTTATTCTCTATTTGATTATGTTTATCTGCAGTTAACTACACAACTTCAAATATGAAGCTTTAATAAGTTGCGTTTATGTATAACTTACTTGTAATCTTGAATTTTTAAGTAAAATGCATCAATATACAATACTTTATGCATAAAAAATGGTTTTTAAAAGTTTTTATCAAATGATTTATAATATAGTATAGATTAAACGATTAGGTTTTTAGACTTTTTAAATAAATATATATAAAACAAAAAATATATTTCACTTCTTTATCGATATATCTATAAAAATAATAAAATAGAATAAATTAATAAAATGAGGGTATTATATATTTTTATTTTAAACTTGAAAAATAAATAATGGATGATGAATTCTTTATTTTTCTAGTTTAAAAAGAAAATCACAAAAGAAGCTCAAAGAATCTCTAAAATGTAGTAAAAGGTAAAAATTTCTAAAAAAATTAATCTTAATCTCCAACAGATTCTTTATTTTGGAGATTACATAATTAATGATATTATTAAAATTTCTAAAAAAATTAATCTTAATCTCCAACAGGATCTCTATTTTAAAGAATCTGTTAGAGATGTTTTAATAATTTTTTATCGTTCAGATTCACATGTGTTTATTATTTTTATGATTTTCGAAAATTCCTTTCTTTCAGTGCTTTTCACTTTCTATGATTTTTGAACATTTATCTTAAACTTATTTTTTCCTTTAAAAAACTAAATTTTAGAAATGTTACTAAACATAATATTTTTGGTCTTTTCTCGAATTTAAGTTCCCTGACAAAGTGGCGAAAAATGTAGTCACTTTTTGCAATCCAATATTTAACCCAAAAATGATGCGTCCAACCATCAAAATACAAACTTTTTTTTATCCTCGGCAACTCCAAATATAAATAAATAAATAAATAAATAAATAAAAAGGAGAAACATGAACATATACATCGAAGACACACACTGAAAAGGTAGAAAAACACTCACAAACAATGTGTATATAGCACTCAAAATGAGAGTTATCACTTGCAATGACGAAGAAGAATATGAAGGCATGGATGATGATTCTAAATATCGAAAATGAACCTATTTTTATTTTCGTTCGTCTGATGACTAGCTTGTGTTAGTTATGAAAACAATATTTCACAACGATTTTATCTTTGTGTTTGCACATTATGATTAAGATTCTTTTTTTAGTAGATAAAACACATTTTTCTTATGTTCAAATGGACATACGACAATAAGGGTAGAGGCTTTAGAAGGGGCAAAAACAGCTCTTCTGCACATGGTGAGCCTCATGCCAATGGGTACAACGATTATGTCACTAGCACTTTCACCGCAGGACTAGAGCAGATCCAGTAGGGGGACGGGACAAAAGTTTTGGCCCCTTCCCCTGGATCAGGGTCAAGGACTATAGACCCCTAAACTATGATGCATACACCTCATCATCCTAGTCAACGATTCCGCATCTGGATGGTGAGCACCAGGTAAGTAGATGTAGTAGTAGGTTTTATTATATTACATAACAAATTGATATTGATGTCTTTTATGTTGCATATTTTGTAATTGTGAATGTTTCTAGATGCACCTGTTGTTTGATTGGTCACCTCCATCTTCAGGCCAATGTTTAGTGGTCTATGGGCTCAATATGAGGATGTCCTTGAGGCTCACATTAGCCTTATGTTCGAGCATTTTCATGTTTGTACAAAGTTCAATGCAAACTATTTGTTTCAGCTTTTTTACTTAATACAAATAATGCGTATGCAACATAAGTTTAGTTAGGACCCGTTGATGGAGGCAGATTTCTATAATGCCTTTTATCATACCTTACAGAATAGGTGACTAGATTAGGGATGCATGTAAATGGGTCAAGAGACAAGCATTAGACGTAGATAAGGTGACCTTCGATGGTTAAGACTTCACGCCTCATAGGGGACACCACCCGACTGCCAGAGACGTATTGGCTGGAGAAGGTTGATCAAGTACATGGTTGAATCTTTGAAAGTTTTAGTTGTTTTTATATTGATTTATGTGTTATGCCTTAACAAGTGTGAGATACTGCATTTAGGCGTCAAGCTAGGGCCATTAGGTTAGGGCCAATCATGCCACTTAACTTGAGGAATCAATTAGTGTTGTTCATCATCGGGATCACATGGTAATTTATCATCTACTATACTAAATGGATATAGTCTATGAATATATATATATATATATATACATATATATATATATATACATACATATATATATATACATACATATATATATATATATATATATATATAGGGGAGCGATCAAATGCAAACCACTCAATTTGTACAAACCGTGCAAACCTCATTCAACCAATCATAATTTTTCATTTTGTTCAT